CTCTCACTAACAATGTTAAATAAAGGTTTTTAAAAAAGCGCCGAGTAAACTATAAAGCTCGTTCTTGCGAATTCTCTTAATTGGATGCCATTTTGCTCGTTTACGTTTTAATAACTTTACAAGATAAGGAGTATCAACATTATCCAAGGCGAAGATAGCGAAGTTTTGTGTAAAGTCTCGCGAGGGTACCAGGAGGAATGGGAGTTCCTCGTTTGGAAGTTGTTTAGTTGGAGTTATTCCAGCCGTTCGAACTCTCACGCGTTTCGTAGAAATATCGCCATGGTACCCAACTCGGAAATTTTAGGATGTATTATTGTATCCCTCGTTTAACAGTACTTGGAATTCGAGTCGGCGCGCGTAGCGAACGTGAGCGTGAGCATAAGCGAGAGAGAGAGAGAGAGAGAGAGAGAGAGAGAGAGAAAGAGAGAGAGGGAGAGCCTAATTAGGCCGTCATCGTCCTGGTTGCGCGTTGTAATTCCGCGTTGTCGGCATTGTGCTTCGAATTCTGCCAAGTGGCTGTTAGCAGGAGGCTTTTGGAATCCTTCGAAGCGTGGTCCAAGGCCTTTCAACCTCAATTCCACGCGCGTGCGTTTCGTAGCCGTCATCCTCGTCAGAGTTGTCTTCGCAGTCCTCACTGAAGTCAACGACAAAGTCCAAATTGTTTTCTCATTGCGTCTCATAAGAACTCGTTAGATGAGAGTTAATCTTCTCTTGCTCGAAGGCTCAACCGCATCTTCTGTCGTTTTCTGGTTACGCGCGAAAACGCAACGTGCTGTGGGAAGAACGCGGAAAAAAGGGTGCAGAAAAACATGCGTCGACCTCGGCGTTGCACTTTTGTGCCTTTCTTTCAGAAGCCTTTTCTTTCTCTCTCTCCTTTAATTTCCTTTATTTCTTTCTTTCTTTTTTCCTTTTTTCTTTCATTACTGCAGAGGCTTGTGAAAAATATGTCGCGAGACGTATCCGTAATAAAATCCAAGCGCAGCGTAGAAAAGAAGCTCGTTAAGTGCATCTAAACCTTGTCTTCATTCAGAAGCTCAAATGTTAAAAACTACAAAGCTGTTTCCATGACACGGGTCCCGTCTTTCTTGTCTAATTCAATAGGGTTGGTTTTAACCCTCTCGTTTCTACATGTAATTCCTATTGTACTAACGTTATTCCTGGTACGTGTATATATACGTACGTACACGATGAAATGTATGAATACTTGCTGGCTCGAGTTTACCCGACGATTCCGTTGCTCTTTATTACGAGAAAATACTCTTTCTCTCGTATTCATTTTATAGGCAGTTTTACCGAGTCTTCTTATGACAACGATAAGTGTATACATAGGTCGCGTAAGTTGTCTAATTCTATGACGTCTACGATTGTAGATGGATAGGATTTTTATTCACTTTTATTACATTTATACGTAAGTGTTAATTTATTAATTCATGTCTATTAACCATTGATCACGATTCGTTCGAAAGATTAGTGAGAAGATGATCATTTTTAATTTGGTATAATTAACTATTTGGTCTTTGAATTATAAAGTCGCGTGACAACATTTTCTCATCATGAATGGAGTAAAACGTGCTACGATAGCTGTGTTTCTAATTTAAAGTAGCAGAAAGAGGTCATATTGCGTTATGTATTTGGATTAATTGCGGTCTGTTCATTTATTGTTTATGCTATTTAATATACTTTTTTTATTCTAAGGAGGATAGGCAAACGTTCATTTGATTAATAGTTACATTTCGTTAATGGATTCTGCAATAGAAACGAGTCTTTCTCATTTATGTATGTATACCTATATTTATATACATAATTCTCCTGTTTTCTAGGTTACGTGGGAAGAATTCCGATCTTTATTAGATAGAAGAATAAATAGAAACTTTGCAACGTCCAATTCGTAGAAATATTGCTCCGCAAATCTACACGGATTTGCAAAAGCGGATTGGTTTTTCGACAGACGTTAATGCGATCTTGGTATATTATTTTGCTATATTCGAGTTAGATAAAAATCGAGTAGAAAAGTTTTTACGAAAGACGAGACTTGATACTCGGAATCCATTCAAGATCTTAAATTTGGATGATGTTTATCATGTAGTATCGAGTTTCATCAATTTCTGAAAATAACAAAATGGAAATCGCATTGTTCAATCGATACATTTATTTTTTCAAATTCATCTAGATAGGCTCAACTTTCATATATCTGTTAAATGTGGTTTGGAAGTTTGTCTCTTGAGAAACTTTGACAACGCAGACTCTTGCACGTGTGCGCCTGATTCACGAGAAATCGAGAGACTTTTTTTTAAAGTGTAAACTAGAAAACGAGCAGGATATTTCCTTATCTAAGGAAATGTCTTCGAAAACTCGTGTGTATTCGATATGTTCCTTCTATCTAACATGCTCGTCTATTCACGTAAAATTTCAGAAAGAAAAAGAGAAGAACGTTCGATAGAGAAGCGATTTCCTCTTCTCACTCTGTAGAATTTTTCCTAAGTTTTTCGATTTGCTCCTCTCCTTCTTTGTCTTTGTTTTTGTCTTTGCATCTCTTTTTCTCTCTTTCTCTCCTTCTCTCCGTCTTTCTCTCTCTTTTGCTCTCGTTTCACGATTTTAGGATACGAATCGATCTTGGAAGACATGCAAGAGGCGCGGTTCGAATCTAGAACAGTGCATTTTTATTTGTTCGACTTGCGACCACGAATTTTCCGAATTATGCAAATAGAAGAATTTTCTTTTTCCGTCATTAAAGTCTTTGTTTACTGGAAGACTTGACATTTCGGTATGAACAATAGCCACGAATCTCAAGTTTTCGTATCCCTTCGGCAATCGTCTTGTTGACTTTTGGCGAAAAGAGATCTTTGAAAATGAAAGAAAAAGAGAAAAAAAAGAGAAATGTTGGAAGTAACAGAAAGTCAATTGTGCGAGTGTAATAGCTACGCAAATCTAGTTGGAAAAATATTGCCAAACTACCGTCATCGGATCGGAACTCGAAAGTCGATCGACCGAGACCCTTCTTGGCGCTTTACCATGCTACTGACAGAGAGAAAGAGAGAGAAAGAGAGAGAGAGAAGTTAGCAAAAGGAGCGAGGAGAAATACAAGAAAGATAAAAGTAATCTCGATTTGATGTATTCGTTTCGATTTGCACACTTTATGGTCACGCTATGGATGTACGATTAATAGAATATCGATTCGATAAACCGTAATGGCGAATTAGGAATTCACCGATCGTTCGCGTGTCAACGATACGATTGCTGATGAATCAACGAATAAATCGAGCCCTTGTTAATGTTCGTGAGGGTATCGTAGTAATAGGAATATTATCAAAGGCATATCTCTACATGTATAAATATATATTTATATATATATATATATATATATATATATATAATATATGCATTTCCGTTATTGCGAAGTGTTTTATCAATGTACCGATTGCATACTTAAGTAAAGTCGTTAAATCTTAAACATTACGCTGCATTACTCTTCGATATCGATGCTATCGTATTTCTTAAGAGCGGATACACTAAACCTCCTAGAAAATCTATATAAATTATGTTTTTAAGGTTGTAGATACGAAATACTTTATTCGATATCGCGGATGTAAGTCGGTAAATTCGAGTAATCATTTTCGTTGGGTTTCCTTTGACGCAAGTATTGATACGAGTCACCTTTCAAAACTTTTCTATCGCTTCGCCAATTTGATTGTTTTTACGCACAAATCTTTTTCTCTTTTTCTCTTTCTTTTTCTCTCTATATTTTTCTCTCATTTCTCTCTCTCTCTCTCTCTCTCTCTCTCTATCTCTCTCTCTCTATCTCTATCTATCTTTCTTTTTCTTCTTTCTTCCATCGAAATCGAAGTATCGACATCACCCCATCGTGACTGCTCGCGAGCGGAAAAGTTTACGTCGTAAACTCTGGGTCTTAAGGGTGAAATTATAGTTTGGTAGCGCTCCGCGCCGTGCCGCGCAGTTGTTACCACGACGGAGCGTTTTAAAAGTTGCTCTCGAGTCTTCGTATAGGTGAAAGACGAGAAGGGTGAGGGTGCTAGGAGTTTGTGGAGGCAGCGAGTCTACGGGAGGTGGGCTTGGAGGAGGTAAAGGCGCGGTTAAGTTGCCAGGAAACTTTGGTAAAACTGAAAAGTTAATTTCGTCGTGTTAAATTACTCGAGCGCCCGGGCATTAAACTTGCAAAAGTTGCTTGGATGACTGAAATACGTACTGCTCGCCTTCTTCTTCTTCTTCTTCTTCTCCTCCTCCTTCTCCTCCCCCTTCCTCCTCCCTCCGCCTCTTCTTCTTCATCCTCCTCCTTTATCTCCATCTTCGTTCTTTTTCTTTCGTCTTTCTACTTCCAAGTCATTCGAGACTTTGAAAGTTTGCAAAGATTTGATCACCGATCCGACGAGCGAATATGTAGCTATGGATTAATGTTTGCTATATTTTCTTCCTTGTAATTAGCCGTTCTCGAATTAATTATAGGAAATGCCGTTATCTCGAAGTTAGAAATTTTAATGATAAATACCGATGGAATAGGATAGTACGAGATCGTTTTCACTTCGACAACATTGTTGGATCATAATGTTCAAATCGATCTTTTCATTTATTCGAAGGCCTTGTTCTATTTCTATATCAATTTTGTGAAAGACGAATGTATATCATAAATAAGCTAAAAAGAATAACATAATAATCTATTATTGTGTCGTAATGAGTACATACTTCACGGTAGACTGAGTTATAGATTTGCTTGATTGAAAGTGTACTTCTTACTTTCTGTAGATTCTCGGTATTGTACTGTATGTGTATTCTTGTCGATGCTTCGTGTCATTCTTTCGAAGCAAAAGGGATATTCCGTATGATCTCAAGAATTATATAAAAATCTATATTTCCCATGATGTTACAAGTTATATAATTTTTCTATTTAATTTTAAACAGTGCAAATGAATGTCAAAGTGTTGAAATCTGTAATACTTTGTTATTTGAAGGAAGCTTGTAATCAATATTTTCACTCTCATAGAATGAAATTCATTGTTAATAACAAATACTCTTTGTAACGAATTTAATGATTTAATAAATGAATTATTGACTCGATTTTAAGCGAAGCAAGAACGCAATCGAAATGATTCGCTTCGATTCGATCTCATCAAAATGTTATACATTTCGAACGAGCGAGCTGTCTGATTAAAATCAACCACATATACTCTGCGACAAGTCGAGTGCTTAGAGATAATTGCCACGTACTTCATTCGTTGTACATTCCATGTAAATTTTTTTTGAACGAACAGATTAGTTAATTAACATCGATATTGATCATAAAGATCGAATTGTCCTTTTTCATTCAATCGTTGAGTTATATATATAATGTACCGAAATATCGGATCTCTGATTTCAATATATATTAAAACTCTTTTTTGTTAAACGATCATTAATTTATTAAAGAATAAATAAAATTCAATTTTTATCTTCGTTGATAAGTATATAAATATCATAAAAGCTCTGAATGATACATTTAAATTCACCGCTCGTTATTTAACGGCGATCATTCGTGTCTTTTTTTTTCAGAATGTTTTATTTGAAATTTTTTCTAGAATTACTCAGTCCACGAATCTGTCGGTAAGGTCACGGTCGTAATCTCGTCGCCCTCGTGTGAACGAATACACACATACACACACTAGTTTAGAGAATGGACATGCGCGTAGAACAATATGCACGTGCTAGGACGTATGTGTTGTACGATTGGCGCGTGCGTAAACACGAAGAAAGAGAGAAACTTTCGCGACTGTTCGAGGTGAGTTACCCCGACGATATTCGGATGTTGGGCGCACGACTCATCCCTCCACGTTGCTCTTCCCTTTTCTATTCTTCTCTCATATACATATACATATGAACGCCGACACTTTTACGATATAGCAACCCCTGTAGGGAAGCCGATTTTCGTGCGAAACACATCTTCCGTTATTCTTCAATTTCTTTTTTCAATTCTTTAGATTTCTTTTCTTGAAACTCGAAAGAATGGATTTACATGGAACGATCAATATTTCTTCGTTCGATTAATGATTCAAAAGTTCGAATAATATTTTTAAAAAAGTTCAGGGAAAATATAATTATCAATGACATTGAAAATATTTATTTAAAAAAAAATTTATTTCATTATTTTTGTATTATTATTTACTGGAATCGTATATTCCATTTCATTTTCTGTATTAAATGAAAAAAGATATTATTATAGCTTCATTATAACATAATACATTAGACATATATTTTTTATTCGTAATTCATTCATATTACACTATTTATTCATAAATTTGAACAGAGGATTTTTGTTTGAAAATATTTAGCATTTGTGTGATCATAATCGTATATCAGCCGTTATTTAACGATTACTTATTTCAGTTAGAAATATATAAAGCAGGACACCCGGTATATTGAGGATTTGCTTGTAGAAGTGTATGTAGGTATACTTAGGTCCTAGTGGCGCGCGCCACGCTACATCTCGCTCTCGCTTCGCTCGGTTGTCCTTGTCTCGGAAAACTTTCCAGTGATGAGCTTTGTTGGTCGTTTCCCCAACAGGACGGAAAAGTTAAATGCGAAAGTTTCAACTGATATCCAATGCTGCGATGTTTCTACGAAAAGCCGTTTATGCACGTGTGACATCCGAATTAAGATTTATCGCTTCTGTTTATTAAAGTTTATTTGCAGCTTAACAATTGTTAATAGATAAACATTAAAATTTGTTTATATTATGTAAATGTTTATTTTTGTTTATTAAAAGGATTTATTTTATATATGTTGTAAAATCATTTTTTATTTTTTTTATTTTTTTTATTTTTTTTTTGATAGGATGGCGTCGAAGAAGACTAGAAAGAACCATTCGATACAACATCTTCTCGAATTGCCATCCAGTAGAGAGACAAAACCATCGCAATTTTCAACGAAAGAACCAACTCGGTCATTGCCGATTTCTACTCCCCGCCAGGTGCCAATCACCGTCTTGCATCCCACACCGAAAAAGGTAAGCGAGGTATAAATGAATATAACCGATAAACTTTCAATTTCGTCGCGTCGAACGGCAAGATCGAAATATAATTATCTAGCAAGAGATTCTAGCCGGATAAAAATAATTGTATAAAAGGGGAGAACTATCGATCTCTCTCTCTCTCTCCCTCGTTCTCTTTCTTTCTCTTCTTATATGCATTTTATAAGTTCCGACTTATCGGGATTCTTCCTTTGTTTTCTTTCTTCGTGTCGATTCGTTCGTGCGATTTTTTGCGAATTAGATAGTAGCGTTCTTTGATAAAAGTTTAGCTATAAAATTGTAAAAGAGACGTAAAAAAGATAGGTTTGCTAGGGAACGTAAAGCGAAACGATTGTAACGACAAACCGCTGACGTTTCACTTTGTCAGACTTGTTCTTTTTTTTATCGATCATTCAGCACGTGGGATATTGTTATTACTCGTATAAATGTCTACGTAAGCCAAACCTGGTGACGAGCAACGAAGCAGATAATTTTCGACTTTATCACCAACGCATTCATAGTTCAACACATTCATTAATGATTCCTTTCATCTATTTTAATCCGTTTTAGAGTACGGTGATATTAATTCTAGTTAAAATAAAATATGCAATTTTGTTTGTATAAATGTATTTTTATTGATGATAAATTTTTCTAGCTACTTTTTGTACTATCTCCCATCTTTTTCATATAGTTCTGTGCGATTAAATTCGTGAATAGCTAAGGAATATATGGACGATTCGCCGAAGATACCGCTACCTCAGCAAAATAACGATTTTTAAAGTTTCTTGAGAAGTTCTGATTCGTTTCAACCCTCTTGGGAGTTGTCGGGAAAGTTTAGTCGAGATAATTGGGGGTGGAATGGAACTTCTATTCATGCGATATTTTATACGCTTGCCGCAAGAATTTCGCGGCGCTGCTACGAGCAAAAACGTCTTGAGTACGAATATCGAAGGAAGACCATCGATAGGGTTGCGTCAGGGTAGAGATCTTTTTTACCTACGTTCAGTAAGTCTTTTAATATGAAAAAATAAAAATTATGATCAATAGCATTTATATAATATTTAAAAATATTAAATTTTTAAGAATAAACAATTAATCAACATTTTGAATAATAATTTGTATCATAGTTACCCTTTGAGGTAGTTACTTACCGACATTCATGTCGGTATTAATACATCTTAGTCGATGGTAATTGTATTTCTAAGTATAAGTAAAATACTGTTTGTCGATAAAGTAGAAGCTATAAAATAGAGATACCTTTTTACCGACCAAAGACTTATAAAAAATCGATAAGTTTGTATTGTACAATTGATAAAATTGTTTCGTTTTTTAATATTTTATTTACATAATACTTATAAAAATATTCAACATCATGAGTCGATTTAACATTTTCCAAACATTATTATAAATTTATGGTATATTTTATAAATTAACTTTCGTTCTTGTATAAGTATATGAAATACAAAGAAAATGTCGAAAATTAAATGATAAGAAACTGCAATCTTTTATACGAGCAATGACATTGTCTAGTATAAAAGATCTTTTACGAAAATGGTGACGCGTACTTTACAGGGATATAATTTGCTATTGAAATTTTGTGAATGGGACTCTAGGAAAAGCGCCTTGAGGATACGGCGGGCATGTCTGAATTTATGATAATTGCATAAATCAGAGCTTTCCTCCACAATAATCATAATCTATTAGGATAGTTATGCGAAGTTAGCTATTTAGCCAACGGCGAATAGGGAGAAGAAGGCTAAGGGATTCCGTGACGTTTTGAATAAGACAAATTCTATACCGTGAAATCAAAGTTACGAACTATCATATAGTTTTTTACGAGATAGTAATCGATGCTTTAAAATATTTCTAGGTAGTTGTAGTTTGTCATTGTATAGAAAACAAATTAGATGATATAATTGAATTAGACTTTTTTCAAAAGTCTATGTAAGACTAATATCTGTTCGTTAAAAGTTTTACTCTTTGCTATTAATTTGTTCTACAAAGATAAAATTAGTAGATAAAGAGTCTACATAGAAAAGAGAATTTGTAAAATCAATAAAGGCAACTGCTGGCTATGGAGTTAGAAGGGTTGACTTCAGAGGGTGTTGCATGTGTATCCTCGAGGTTTCTTTTACTTGCTTTATAAAAATATTTTTACTACATAAATTCTATTACAATGAAAACAAAAAATAAATTGGAATGTTCAATGTTAAAAGTTGATTACGAATCAATACTACTAGCAGGTATTGAATGTAAATGTAACGTTTTCTTATCAATATAAAATGGTCCTAATGTATTCGATATTATATAGCTACCACTCAATATTACTAGCGTTAAAAAATAATCATCTTACACCATTGTTTCTTTCGGCAAGCAGTGGGAAAGTCACCAGCTGACTATCATTTTCTGCTCCCTGTTGATTTCTTTATTACAAAGACCGAAGTTAAGACCCGTTGGCTTCCGCGCAACGTTCTTAGAATATTAATGCTAAATCTGCTCTGACTTCACTTGTAGGGTCGTTAGGGGCGCGATTACCATTACGATTATACTCCTTCGGCCTTCCTTCTAGATTTTCTCTCTTGTACGCCTTATATAATGCGGGTTAGCAACGACGTTTTTCTTTTGTGATTCTGATGATTCCAAAAGGTTTAACCAAGGGTAGAAAACAAAATTATTTATACGAATAAAATTTGACTTTCTTTTGTATCATAATTTGTTTCTTTTTCGTTCGCACAAAGAAGTATGGTAAAGTTAAAACTGAACATTAAAGTAACTACAAAGAAATCAATGATCTTTCCTGTTAAATTTATTAAGCGTTAACATTTTTTGAATTGGAATAGGGTTAACCAAATCTGTCCTTTCGGTCCTTTCACAACAATCCTTGAAAAAGGTATCTGTTTGATGAACGCTAATCTCTTGTTAAACCGTAAAAGCGTTGTCAAAATACTAGAAAACTAGTCCCGTAAATCCTCTTAAGAAGATTTGTTTATTACTCATGATTTATTACTCTCCGCGGTATGTTTATCCTATGCTGCTGGGAATAAAGTAAATAATTCTTAACTTGAAAGAAACGAACCTTTTCACGCGGAACGATCATCATAATAGGGCAATTATGAGTTGGTATTGTCGCATTCTTTTGATATAATGGGAGGATTCAAGAGCGTACCCCGACGACGATCGTACAAAAGCTGGTTTAACCCTCGACAAGGGGAGTTTATAAAAATCGTGTCAATTAGGTAGTCAGATCTCGGATGAATTCTCGAAAGTATTTTAAAGGGAAAAATCGTATTACGACTTATTGCTCTTTTCTTCCTTTTTTCCTTTTCTTTTTTTTTTCATTTATATCACCGTCGCGTTACTTCCTCGTAATTCCTATTAGAAAACGAAAGACGATATTGATTCTCAGGGATATCTAACTTCCTCTGGCGTTAAAGTACGCTTGCATTCCATGGAAAAGCAAGAGGGTTCGATCGGTCTAGGTAATGCCCGGGGCGAGGATTAGTCCGTAGGGCATTGTAACATCGTAAATATACTCCCGTTTTTACCCCCTTAAGTTTCGAGCTGCGATGTCTCCCCCAACCGTCAACCTTATTCCTTCGTCGGCAACTTTCAACGGTCGTTTTAATCGACGTCGGTGTTTGATATTCCATTGCAAATAATTGTATATCACCGTTGTAACTTTACCTGTCGATGAATCCGAATATCATAATTACTTAAATGCGTCCTGCTCGATTCAGACCGAAGAACGAGAAAAATAAAAAAAAAAAAAAAAAAAACAGAAAACAAGAGAAACGAAATAATTTGTTAGGAAGAAAGTTATCCGAGGTGTTATCGGAGATCTATCGACATGCCCTTTAATTCCTTAGCTTCACGAGCCATCTCTATTATCAAACGCGATCATGAGTTATAATTTCGGCGGCCCTACTCTGTTACCTTCTATACCCCCCATTTTGCGAGAAACGGGTAGTTTTTCGACAGGATGGGGAAAAGATTAGGGAAGGCATTACGGCGAGGCACTTTAGCCAATGTCGCCGTTTCGATACTTACAATCCCTTCTCCCCCTTTCACCTCACCCATCGTGCTTTCTCTCTTTCTCTTTTCGAATCATCTACCTTGAACTATAGAAAGAGAGAGAGAGAGAGAGAGAGAGAAAGAGAGAGAGCGAGCGAGAAAGAGAGAGGAGGTTCCAAACGACGAAGGCCCCTTCTTCGAGGCAAGGACGATATCTTGAAGGAAAATCCCAGTCGCCCTTACGCTTATAGTAGTCGAAATGGAAAGGGTTCGCGAAGGGCTCCGGAAGGACTGCGGGGTTATAATGAAATATAGCCTCGTTCCGCTTCGTATAAGACTGCATTAAGATTATACTTTGGCGTGAGAGTGCGCGCGTGCGCGTGCGCAAGCACGCTCCTTGGCGACCGAAGAAGGTTGAAATAAAGGGGGTGGTATAGGGACCATGGCTGGTGGCTAAGAGCGAAAGGGGTAAGGGATTCCTCCTACGGTGTTTTAATCAAGCCGGATTTGCTGCGGCAAGCCGTGGCTCCAACTTTCATTTTAGCCAACCCCGTTCTGACAAGCCGCGCACGAACGTTTTCGTCTACTTCTCTCCTTCTCTCTTTCTCTCTGTAGATAGCTCCCTTCCGCATGCTTATCTTTCTACCTTCTTCCCTAGTATCTCTCTTGCTCTTAAGACCTATACGTTCTCACGTTCGGCAGCTTGGGATTTATATGTGTGTTTGCTCCGCATTAAAACTCCATCTCTGTTTCACGAAGACGCGTGATCCCGGCTTACTTTGACGTCTCGAACGAAAACCAAATCAAGAATCGGCACACTTTGTTAATACCAAGAATAAAAGCGATCATTTCTTCCTTCTTATTATTATGTACTCATTTTAAGAGGACCTTAACTGTTTTGTTAATTTACGAATAATCGACCATATGCATGTACTTTTAAGATATTGAAGGATCGTAATACCTTATTGAAAAATTAGTACAGAATT